TATATAACCTAACTCTACATGAAAAAAAGTATTTTTCTTTTATTTTTGTCATTACACAAAGTCATAATAGATTAATTCATCAAAACTAAATTCTTATAATTATTTGTTGAGCAGCAACAGGTAATTAGTTGTGTTTTAAGCTCAGAAACAAAATGTGTTTTAATCACATTTGGTGACTTTTAGTTTTATTTTGAACAATCTTTTCCAAAGCGCGCACGTGGTTCTGAATTAAAAGCTTTAAAATGTAAATAAAAAAAAAGAGCAGCTGTGTTTTTTTTTTTTTTGGGCTCCCTCCTTCAGGAGGAGGTGGAGGGGCGGTTCTGGTCGGAAGTCCCGTAGTTTCTGTATGCTAATGGGGGGAGTTGGGGGTTGTAGCTACATATTTACGTTCAGCGGGAGCCGCCCTTCATTCACCCACATGGTTACCAACCGCTCGCATTCGCGCCACTTTCCTCCACCCCGCAATCATCTCCGAGAAGCCTCTCCCCTCCTCGAGGTTCCGACCCAGAGCTGGGCTCGGTTTCGGCGCGGCGGTGTAAAAGTTTACCCGTTATTTTTGTCTCTTTTGTTGTTGTTTTTTTTTTCTGGGCTCGGCGAGCTTTGAGCAAGCGGAGCGAAGATGGAGGATCTCGGCTGGGTGAGCGCATGTTTATCGGTAAGGAAGTCGCGTTTTTTTTTTGCTTTTCTTTTTTTCTTGTTTGCAAAATAATTAAATTCCTCTCAGTTTGCGCCTCGTTAATTTTAAGCTTACTATCATTCCTGGTGGTAATAATTAAATATTAGCTTAAAACGGTAAGGTTGGGCGATGAAAACAGTGAGGCGCATGGCAGCCCCCTCAGCTCCTCCATCGAGGGAGATTTGAAAAAGCTCAACCGAGCTTWTTTCTTGTTTTTCCTCCGCTGCGCTTCAAGCTAGCGACAACAAACTAAACACAATYTAGCGTAATCTCTCAAACGCGTGGAAAACGACCCACTTTTGGTGGGCGTAAAGTTGTAAATCTCGCGTATTTGCCACCGTGTGTCGAGTGCAGTGGTGTGTGAGTTAAAGTGCCCCCCAGAACAAAGCAGCAGCACATGGGGCAGCAGTAGGCCGCAAGGATTAGCTTAGCTATCCTAGCCTGGCTGCACGGACTTCCAGAGTTTTTGTTTAGCTGTGAATAAATAAACTACATTTAAGTGGGAGTTGTGCTCAAATTGAGYGCTAATAATGCTTAATAAGTGAAACACGTGTTAGCTTTTATTTTGTAAGCGTGTCGGCTAGTTGTTAGCCACAAGCTAACGAGTCAAAACTCGAAAGTATGAGTTAAGCTGCTGGGAGTTACGCGAGCATTTTTTTGCTTTTTGTTTCAGGCGCGTCTAAGACGCCCATGTGTGGTTGTGAGGATGGTGGTCGCAGCGCGGATATGCCCGTGTTTTTATCGGGGCTAATGGCAGCTAGCAGGGGGGTAAGCTAACACAAGCTAACTATCCGGTGCTCCCGACACGGACGTCAGCCTCGRAAACCGGCCACTTTTTGTTTGCTGGTTTTGTCTACACTTAAAAGCACCCGTAAGGCCGRGTGTGGCTTTAAATACAGCCTTGACTCGGTATTTTTTTTGTAGGCTTGTTTTGTTTTGTGTTTTAAAGTCGTCGTGAGGTTGGCGCACTTCGAGGCGCCATGTTAAAAGAAGATGGGGGAGGGGTGAACGGCCTCGGCGGCTCTGCGCATGCGCGGCGGCGGTGCAGCGAACGCGGGCTGCATGTTTGCCCTGCTTTCATTCATGATTTCAAGCGACCTCGTGCTTCTCCGGAGCGCTTCGTTTGAACTCAATTTATGTGAGCTCTCTAGCTTTTTTAGTTTCGTAACTTAAACTTTATAAAATGCGCTTTTTATGGTGTTTTTACCAAGACTTGTTGCACCTCCGGACTAACTTTCTGCACTGTTTGCTTGCAGGTCCACCATGAGGTTCTGGGACAACAACCATGAAGATCTTCCATGTGGTGCTGTGGATCCTCAGTCTATGTATTGTCAAAGTGCTTACAGTGCAGGTAGTGCTACGTGATACCTACTGCAGTGGAGGCACTTTCAGCAATACCCTGACACTCTTTTATTTTTCTTCGATCTTTGTTACCTGTGATTTCTGTTTGACGTACTGTCTTTGTGCTAAGGTGCATCTAGTGCAGATAGTGAAATAGACTAGCACCTACTGCCCTAAGTGCTCCTTCTGGCATAAGGGGCTGTGATATGCACCGCCAGGGCCTCACTTTTTTGTTTTRAAATTCCTAATTGGACTCAAACATCTTGCAGTTCTCTGCTAGTTTTGCATAGTTGCACTACAAGAATACATGAGTTGTGCAAATCTATGCAAAACTGATGGTGGCCTGCTTGCTCTACACCTGTTCAGATTTATTTGTTTGTTTGTTTTTTAAGTTGTTACTGTAAACATTTATTACATGATGTAATTAAAAAAAGGGTGACTTGTTTCTGGTTGCGGTCCAGGTGACTTCAGTTCCAGCGGTACTAAAGTGCTTATAGTGCAGGTAGTGGTCTGATTCTCATCTACTGCAATGTGAGCACTTGAAGTATTTCTAACTGTATCCTCCCTGCGGCCCGAGGCGAGTGGTCGGCGACGAAATCTGTTGCTCGGTCAGTTTTGCTGGTTTGCATCCAGCTTTTACAGATGTGCGCTGTGCAAATCCATGCAAAACTGAGCGGGCCGGCGGGCTGTGCTGCGACGTGGAGCTTACTTTTTGGTGTGTGTTTTTTGTGTGGCCTCGGATGTCCTGTCCTGTGCAGGTGGGGATTAGTAGCAATGCTGTGCTCCTGGAGGTATTGCACTTGTCCCGGCCTGTAAAGGAACAGGGAGCTGACCTCTGATCTGTCGTTCGATTGCAGTAAATTTGTGGTTTTTTTGTCTTGTTAAAAGTGTCTTTTTTTAGGTACCAAATTGTGATTATTGTGTTCGGTTTGAATAAAAATTAAATTAAAATGTAAAAAGCAATTTTCCTTTATTTGTTTTCTGTAGTTTTAAAATAAAAAGCCTTGTTTTGAAGGTAATCTTAGCAATATTGCATTTAGCGCCTTTTTATTAGGAACTAATTATACAGATGTAAAAATTAGCTAAATTTAATGTGTATTTGTAGCTATTAAATTAAATGGAAACTGAGCGATTCAATTAAAGTATTAACTTGATTTATTACTAAATACATAGAAGCAAACTTCAGCATGTGAGAAAACGGATATAAGGTTTTTTTCCCTGCTACCTTTCACATAAGATTTTTATTTTATGTAGGGAATTTGTTCTTTAAAGAAATGAATAAACTTCTAGGTTAAAGCTGTGAACATAGGCCAATTTAATTAGCTTCTAAACATTTTAGTTTTAAAATGAAYTGGCATGTACTCATGCCTAATTTAATGCTTCTGGTGATTAAAAAACGTTGCACAAGTCTGGATAAAGGGTTATTAAAGTTCAAAATGTAGGTTATTGCTGTAGGTAACAAAAGTTTATAATAAACATCTTYTAAATTCAGCTTTACAGTTTCTGGTGTCAGTAAAAATGTTTTCCCTCCTGGCTCATGATCAGCGTGTGATGCTCCTGCTGCCCACCAGAGGGCGCCCTCGCCCCGGTGTTCAGGTGTCGCGTCGGTACCGCCTCTGTTTTCGCTCCAACAAAGTCGCGACAAACCTGCAGCTTTCAAACAGAAGCAAACACGCCTGAAAGTCCAAATCAGCTGAAGGATTGAAGGGTTTGAACTGGACAGAAAAGGGTTTCTAAAGACCTGGACACACCTGAACCTGATTGAGCTCCAGGTGTAAAMACGAACCCGGACTTCCAGCGGGCGTCGTTTTGTTTGGATCATTAAACTCTTTAGTTTTTTGTTTTATAAAAATGAGTGTTTTGTGGACGTGCTGCGTTTTTCTGGCGGTCGGCTGCCTCGGATCTGAACTCGGAGGTTTCAACAGATGCGACCAAGTCCGGAAAGTTTTTCAGGTCCGACAAATCGGACCGAGTCAGGGACTGCCTCCAGGTCCCAGACCAGGTATGTGGATCYGAGAAAAACCCTCACGAATAAACTCTGATTTTTATTTTTAGCATCCATAGCTGTTATCCTGACAGATTAGCTCATTAGCTGCAATTTCCGGTCATTTACCTGCTAATTATAAGTTGCTGCACAGAAGTCTGAGTTTAGTTTTGAAATATCACAATGACATCTAGATATTTATTAAAAAAAAAAAAACCATGACATTTCGGTGACCAAAACGTGAATAACTTTATAAAGCCTATTATTGACTGATCAGCTGCTATAAAGCGCAGGTTTGTTGTTGATGAGCTCATTTTAACTGAGATATTTCACCCTGAGTTTAGATAAACCTCAGCCTGAAGTTTGATAAAAGTTTAAATATTCAAGTTTGTGACAAGAAGAAAACAAAGTTTGTTTTAGAGAGGTTTAAAAAAATCCTCTCTCTTCAGAAATATAAGACCCACAGAGACAGAAATAAGCAAATTAATGCAACCAAACCTACAATCCATTAAAAAACTTAAACATACTAAAAAGCATGTTCATTGCGTGAGCAGGGAATGCTTTTATGTCAAGTTTCACATTGAATAAGGTGCAAAGTTGTGGAGGAATAAGTGCATTTTGGTCAAATAAATAGTTTAAATTAAATGTGACCCATCATATAAATGACKTCATCATGTTTTCAGATTCCTGCTTTAAAAAGCTACATTTTGATATTCTGATATAAACAGAACCAGAGATATGATTTAATTTTATGTTAGTTACGACAATACAGCAATGTTTGGTCTGAATCCTAATTGTTTGTAATTTTAATGAGGAGTTCTTAATTTCATTATGAAGAGGAAATCTCAAATAGTGTTTTAAATGTTTCCCAGCTGGAAAGAAACAAAAACTTTAACTCACAGGGAAAACCTCAAAATTTAGAGGGATTTTTCCTCAAAATCATTTTTTTTTTGCTGCTACTGCTAAAAAAAATGTGCTTAATTCTTTTATGATTATATTTCACATAATTCATTCAAAAGAAACGCTGATAAAGCATTTGTTATATTTTGAAGAAATTCAAATTTTGTTAGTGTTTAAATCAAAACACYTTTTTGCCTGTCTCCATTTACTAATCCTCATTTTGATGTGATGGGTCACATATATGTGAAAWATAACTTTGAAGCCCATTTTTGAGCAGTAAATCAAACTAAAAACAAAACACAATTTCAAGCAGAAAAGTCTAAATTTCTAATATTTTTTCAAGCACAGGAAAGTTTTCTGTCTTTACAGTTTTTACCCAAATACTGTTCGATGTTTCCTCMTTAAAATGACATCAAAAAGTCCTCATTAGAATAACCTAAAATAGGATTTAGACCAAATAAGAAAGGGTTGTCCTGATAAGAAGACAAATGAAGGCACATCTGGATGATCCAGGTGTCAGAATGTAGCTTAAAAAGCAGGAAACTGAAAATGTGCTGAATTATTTTGATTAAAATTTAACATCATCCTCAGTTTGATGTGAGGGARATTTGGGAAGTTTACTCCAMGGTGTTGGAAGGGATCAYTTGTGGAGAGGAGGGGTTCTGGTTCCTGCTTATAGGATGTGGTTCTGTTGGTGTTCAGGTGTCTGGGTTCTGGTCTCACCATGGAAGCACGGCGGCGGCAGCATCATGCTCGATTCAGGCCTGACCGTAGCTTACAGCGATGCAARCCCAGTGAAGAAGTTTAGTTATTTATTTTCCTGCTGTTTTAACTTGACGACTCGAGGAGTTAAAGCTGCAGAGATTTGTCGCTGATCAAACAGAACCGACTCTCCTCCCGTCTGTTTACAGCAGATAAGTGGCTTTCAGGGATAGAGGAGGAATTATTTAGTTTAAAGTTCTGTAAACTGGGCTTTTTGAARGCCGCTCGGGGTGATTTTGTGAGGATTTATGGGTGTGGATGATCCTGCCACAAACTGCAGCCTGTAAACTCCTGGGCTGCCGTGTGGAAACAGATCCAATCGACAGAAAACCTCTTTAACCACTAAATAACCCTCATCAGCCCTTAAACGAGCTCGTTTGGTTGTTTTCTGAGCTGCTAACTGAAAATATAACATAAATTGCACGCTGTGTGGGTGTTCTGTTGTTTAAGGGATGATAAATTCTGTAAAAACAAAATAAAAACAAACAGCTGACCTTCCTGGCAGCCTCACACACTTCTTATCAAATCCAAACACGTCAAAACATTTAGGAGATTAAATCACTTCAACCCGCATGTGTTCAGATTCAAGCACATCAGTTTTGACGTGGTTGATGCCGGGTGTTTTGAATCGAGTTGTAAGTTTGTAAATAGTAACCTCAAGTACGGCAGGCCCTTTGAGCATAAAATCAGTGTCACCGCGTTCCCGATACCCATCTGAGATCTTTAGGTTAGTTTTGCCTGGTCACCATTTGCTTTCAAGATATCTCGCTTTTTGTTTTGACTATTCATAATTTGAATTAAAGATATCAGATGTGTAACTAGTGCAAATTAAATTGCAGCTATCTGTGGGTGGTGGGCGGGTACAGATCCGCTAATCCTCTAATAAAGGAACAAGCTTTTAATTTAGCAGATTAGCTTTGATCTTTGCTAACTTTTGGAAACGCAGTAGTGGGCTCAGCTAACCGAAAAGTTAGCTTCACTAACTCGTAACCTGCTTACTAAAAATGTAGCTTTCATAACGGTAAACTGCTAAATATGTAAAATTTAGCAGACGCTAACACTAACAGCTAATTGCTAAATGCTAAGTCAGCTATCAGTCTGTGTGACGTCGTCGTCTCCTTACGAGCTGAATACGGGTAGGACTGACAAACCTGTTGATGTTAGCTGTTAGCATATGCAAGGTTAGCAAAACCTAATTACATGGATGCTAACAGTAATAGCTAATTGCTAACCACTAAAACATCACAAGTATTTGTCTCCTTCAAGCTAAAAACTGGTGGGAGTGACACAAACTTGTTGATGTTAGCTTGTTAATTAGCTATTAGTGTACATAAATTTAGCAAAACCTAATTAAGTGGAAGCTAACACTAATAGCTAATTGCTAAATGCTAAGTCAGCTATCAGTCTGCGTGACGTCGTCATCTCCTTTTGAGCTGAATACGGGTAGGGCTGACAAACCTGTTGATGTTAGCTTGCTAGTTAGCTGTTAGCATATGCAAGGTTAGCAAAACCTAATTACATAGAAGCTAACAGTAATAGCTAATCGCTAACCACTAAAGCATCACAAGTATTTGTCTCCTTCAAGCTAAAAACTGGTGGGACTGACACAAACTTGTTGATGTTAGCTTGCTAGTTAGCTGTTAGCATATGCAAGGTTAGCAAAACCTAATTATATGAATGCTAACAGTAATAGCTAATCGCCAACCACTAAAGCGTCACAAGTATTTGTCTCCTTCAAGCTAAAAACTGGTGGGACTGACACAAACTTGTTGATGTTAGCTTGCTAGTTAGCTGTTAGCATATGCAAGGTTAGCAAAACCTAATTATATGAATGCTAACAGTAATAGCTAATCGCTAACCACTAAAGCATCACAAGTATTTGTCTCCTTCAAGCTAAAAACTGGTGGGACTGACACAAACTTGTTGATGTTAGCTTGCTAGTTAGCTGTTAGCATATGCAAGGTTAGCAAAACCTAATTACATGGAAGCTAGCAGTAATAGCTAATCGCTAACCACTAAAGCATCACAAGTATTTGTCTCCTTCAAGCTAAAAACTGGTGGGAGTGACACAAACTTGTTGATGTTAGCTTGTTAATTAGCTGTTAGTGTACATAAATTTAGCAAAACCTAATGAAGTGGAAGCTAACACTAACAGCTAATTGCTAAATGCTAAAACGACTGTCGCCCACTCTGCGTCACACCACTGGAAACACAGATTACATTTCGTCTGTCACTGCAGCCACCCATGATTCTGCAGGCAACTGTTTGGACAAATGTATTAATTCTGATATCTAAAAACGTAATTTTGTCTGGTCTTATGTTTGACATATCTTGAATTGTTATTCTGTAGTCAGAATGTAAATACAGATAGCACTCAGTATAGTCGAAGTGTCATTGTTTGAAGTCAAAACTCATTTATGAAGCTGATTTAATGTTAAAATGGCCTGCCATACACCAGTACATTTCTTGAGTCTGAAATGTTTTCCATGATGAACAGCAGATAAGGAAGAGTCCAGACAGGTTTGTGTTTGGGTCAGAATGCAGTCAGAGTTTCAGCAGGACTTTCATGTCATCTTATCTGGAAGACGTGGACTTCTAACACGTGTGCGTTTGAGCTGATAGCGTCTGGCGGCGGTCCGCTCACTCTGCCCGGGCTTGTCTCCGGCTCACTTCAGGGTCTGCTATTTTTTAAATTCTGTACGTGTGCAGATTGTTTACATCCAGTTAAGATGTTGACTGTTTGAGCCACGATTTCACCAGTAAACATGAATGTCACAATTTGCTTTGTTGTTGTGATGGATACGTGATGATGGATTCAGGTTTTTAACTCTTCTCCTGATCCTGTGTGAGTGGAATGTGCTGCAGGCTCAACAGTTTGGCTCAGACATGACACACCTGCTGCAGTTCACTCATAGTTTTTATTGGCTTTTGATGATCATGATGATGTCTTCAGCATTCATTGACTCAAACGTACACTCATTGATTGCCAAAGGCTAAAACTGGCAAAACTGTAACTATAAAGGTTAAATTAACAAAACTTGTATACTTATGGCAGCCAGTAAAAAAACGATCACATGAAAATGGCTGAAAGTGGAACCACCTACCATTGAAGAATGGCTTTCAAGAAATTTATATAATGGAAAAGATCACTTTCTCTCTCATAATTCAAAAAGATAAATTCTATAGTATTTGGTGAAAATGATCTGAGTATGTGAAACCTGTAAGGTCCGATCTTGTATAAGTCCACTTGTCCCCACCTACACACTACCTTCATTTTAAGATACAACACCGTGTTTACACCAAGGTATCCTGTCAAGTAAGCCATACGCAGCTTTAAATGTTTTATTATTGATCATGCTATTTTCCATTTGCTGTAAATAATTATATGCTTTTGAATTGTTTAACCCAGAAAAAAAAGGAAAAAAAAAAGAAATTACAAAAGAATTAACTAAACTTTAACTACCGGTAATGTTAAGTGATGTAAACTCATCTCTTAAAGCTCAAAAATTTTAGCTAAAATGTTAAATGAGCAAAACAGAAGCTAAAAGCAGTGAAACTGTTGCTACAAATCTCTTTTGACCTGAGCATCCATCCATCCATCCATCCATCCATCCATCCATCCATCCATCCATCCAATCCTTCATCCATCCATCCATCCAATCGTC